TGGCTGGCACCTTAGCCGCTTGAGCCACAGGCGCTGAGCCACAACACAGAATGTTAATAGCACTGTTCTGAACCTTGCTTTTTGTATATTATGGATATTTTGAAAATATAGGAGATTAGATCATCTTATTTGCTTTTTGAGTCACAACATCTAATTGAGAATTATGTTATTTACATATTTTAGAATTTATCTTTAGTTTTTTATCTTTAGTCTGACTTTTATTTTTTTAAGATAGAGTCTCACTTTATCGCCCTTGGTAGAGTGCCATGGTGTTATAGTTCACAACAACCTCCAGCTCCTGCGCCTAGGCAATTTTCTTGCCTCAGCCTCCCGAGTAGTTGGGACTACAGGTGCCTGCCACAACGCCTGGATATTTCGTTGTTGCAGTTTGGCTGGGGTTAGGTTTGAACCTGCCACCCTCGTATATGGGCCAGCGCCCTACTCAGTGAGCCACAGGCCCTGCCCTGGTCTGACCATTTAAGACAAAGGTCCTTGTTCAAAATTTGTTAGATCACTAGAATTATAAACAGGGATTATGTGTGATTCTAGAGTTATTTTTTGGTTCTACTTTTAAATCATGCATTATTTTTTTTGTTTTTAAAAAATTTTACAGATTGAAGATCCGAGTTGCTTCTGGGTTATTATAAAAGGATGCAGTCCCCTTTTAGATCATGAAGTCGACTATCAGAAACTAAATAGTGCCATGAATGATTTCTACAACAGCATGTGCCAAGACATAGAAGTGAGACCATTAATGCTGGAAGAAGGGCAGGTGCGTATCAAAGGCGTGTTCATCACCGTGTCTTGAGACACCACTTAAAATGTGAAATAATTTGGCCACTAAAATGATGAAAACTTGGAGAGTGTTTCAGTTTTTCCACTGTTTTAAGGTTCTTTAGGTTGCACATGATTCAGGCGAATCCTAGAAGGAAGTGGTTGTTAGGGAGTGTATGCTGCGTGCAGGGCAACAGGTGGAATGTCATCTAAACCCAGGTACCAAGGCGTCCCCCTGGGGCCAGCAACCAGGGGGTGGGTCCAGACCCAACACAGGTAGAAGGCTTCAGCATGGAGGGGGGTGTCTGCATTCTGGGGCTGGTGCCCCCTTGCCGTTGCTCATGGCTGTGGCTGGCCTGTGTGTCTCTGTTTTCTTTACTCTGCATCATAGCCCCCTTGCTTCCTTGCAGCCTCACTTCCCACTCACCTTTGTATGAGTCTCTACAGATCAGCCATTTTTCAGAAGAATTTGAATTTTTTTAATAACATGGTGGGAAAAGATATATAAACTCTTCATGATAAAAAGTAGAAACAGTTTGAATTCTTTGTCTCCCAAATTTGTTACTAATACTAGTTAGTATGATTTATTATTTTTTATATTATTTCTCAAAGTGTTTGACTTATAGAAGAAATGAAATCAGGTCTACTATCCTTTAACGCATTAACTGGCATGTGGGTTGTATTTAACTTACGCTGGTTTTGAGCTCTACACTGGTTTTGTGCCTGGGGCCTCATGAAACAGTATGTAACTGTGTGTTTCAAGAATAGGTGTGCTGTGACTTTCATATTGTACTGGGAGATAATATTACCCAGTTGCAGTCAGGCCAGTTAATAACCCTGCAATGGCCTGTCAGTGTTCAGGTGAGAGGAAGAGTCACACATCTGCCCCACTTCAAATTAAAAGCTAGAAATGACTTGAGTTTAACAAGGAGGCGTGTCCAAAGCTGAGGTGCTGCCCTCTTGTGCTGAACCATCAACCAAGTTGTGAATACGAAAGAAAAGTTCTTAAAGGAAGTTCAAAATGTTCCTCCAGTGAACACACAAGAAAGTAAAACAGCCCAATTACTGATGTGAAGACAGTTTCAGGGGCCTAGACACAAGATTAAACTGGATATAATTCCAGAGCTGGTTCCTGAGGTTAAAGCAAAGAATCCATCTCCATAACAGGGAAGTTCAGGGTGAAGTGCTGGTGGAGAAGCTGTAGCAAGTTATCCAGAAGATCCAGCTATGACCACAGATGAAGATGCCTACACTAAACTACAGAATTCTGTTATCAGAAAAGCCTTCTAGGTCTTTCCATAGCTAGAGAAGTCAATGCCTGGCTTCAAAGGTCAAGCAGACTCTCTTGGCAGGGCCTGGTGTTGCTGGTGACTTTAAAATAAAGCCAATGCTCGTTTACCATTCCTCAAATCCTATTGTGTAATATCCACTCTGCTTGTGGTCTGTAAGTGGAACAATAAAGCTTGGATGACAGCACAGCTATTTATTGGTATAGCCTGTTTACTGAATATTGTAAGCCCGCTGTTGGGATCTACTGCTCAGACAAAAAACCATTTCTTTCAAAATATTTCTGCTATGGACAATGCACTTGGTCACCCAAGAGCCCTGCTGTAGGTACATGAAAAGATGAATATTGTTTTCATGTCTGCTAACAACATCCATTCTATAGCCAGTGGGTCAAAGAATAATTTCACTTTCAAGTCTTAGTGTTTTGAGATGACTGTGTCACCTAGGCTGGCCTTGAACTCCTGGCTCAGGTTATCCTCCCACCTCAACCTCCCACATAGCTGGGAGCCTTGTTAAATCTAAATTTTTTAAGAAACGTATTCCATGAGGTGATAAAGCTGCTCTAGATAGCAATTGCTGTAAGGCAGGAGTTCTCAGCCTGTGGGTCACGACCCACAGGAACTATATGTAAGACTCGTGGCATTAGGAAGGTTGAGAACCACTGCTGTAATGGATCTGGGAAAAGTCAACTGAAAAACTTTTGGAAAAGATTCACCATCCTAGCTGCCATTAAAAACATTCGTGATTCATGGGAGGAGGTCAGAATATCAACATGAGTTTGGAATAAGTTGATTCCAACCCTCTTGGATGACTTTGAGTGGTTCAAGACTGCCGTGGAGGAAGTAACAGCAGATGAGGTGGAAAGAGCAAGAGACCCAGAGTTGGAAGTGGAGCCTGAAGTTGTAGCTGAATTCCTACAATCTCACGGTAAAACTTGAGCAGATGGGCTCGGCGCCTATAGCTCAACCGGCTAAGGCGCCAGCCACGTACACCTAAGGTGGCGGGTTCGAATCCCCAACCCGGGCCCACCAAACAACAATAATGGCTGCAACCAAAAAATGGCCGGGCGTTGTGGCGGGCGCCTGTGGGCCCAGCTACTTGGGAGGCGGAGGCAGGAGACTCGCTTGAGCCCAGGAGTTGGAGGTTGCTGTGAGCTGTAATGCCATGGCACTCTGCCCAGGGGGACAGCTTGAGGCTCTGTCTCAAAAAAAAAAAAAAAACTTGAGCAGATGAAGAGTTTGCTTCTTATGGATGGGCAAAGAAAGTGGTTTCTTGAGATGGAATCTGCTCCAAGTGACAACAGAGGATTAGAGTATTCGGTGGAATTCATTGACAAAGTAGTGGCAGGGTTTGAGAGAACTGACTCCAGTTTTACTGGAAGTCCTGCTGTGGGTAAAGTGCTACCAAACAGCGTCACGTGCTCCAGAGAAACTTCCATGAGGGGAAGAGTTGGTAGATGCCACAGACTTCGTTGTTAGATTTTATGAAATTGTCACAGATATTCAGACCTTCAGCAATCACTACTCTGACCAGTCAACATCGAGGGAAGACCCTTCCCCAGCAAAAAGTCTGCGGCTTGCTGAAAGTAGCACCTTTTTAGCAATGAAGCACATTTGAACTAAGGCCCATTTTTTAGGTGTAATGCTATCACCTGCTTAGTAGACTGCAGTGTAAATATAACGTGCTAGGAAACCAACAAATGTGTGTGACTCACTTCATTACAATATTCGCTTTGCTGAGGTAGTCTGGAACTGAACCACAGAATCTGCCAGGGGTGCCTACACTATTTTTTATCTCATGGTTTTAAATTTATTTATCATTTATAATCGTTGTTCTTCCTGATGTTTAAATTATTACAGTCTTGGTTTGGTGCCCATAGCTTAGTGGTGAGGGTGCTGGCTATGAGCTCTGAGGCTGGTGGGTTCCGTCCCAGCCTGGGCCTACTAAACAAAGAAAGAAAATAGCCAGGCGTTGTGGTGGGGGGCCTGTAGTCCCAGCTACTTGGGAGGCTGAGGCAAGAGAATCACTTCAGCCCAAGAGTTGGAGGTTGCTGTGAGCTATGATGCCACAGCACTCTACTGAGGGCAACATGGTGAGATTCTGTCTCAAAAAAAAAAAAAAATTATTCCAGTGTTGGCTAATGGCAGCCCTAGTGTAACATAAGTTCAAAGTCTGACTGTGTGAGTTACTAACTGTTCATACTATTCCTGATTTGGCTTCAGCATTAAATAGAAATGTCCCCCATCCTCTGTCAAGATTGTTCCTGAATGATTTCAGTTTTCAATTGAGTGAGGTTCTCGAGACCCTTGTCCCTAGCAGTACGGGTGTGTTCTTGTTTTCAGCTTAAACTCCTGAGGGCAGCATCTCCGTCAGCCCACTTTCTCCCTGTTTGGGCACAGCTATCCTGGCTGGGCCCCTTATAAGTATATGGTCAGCAAGTGGTTGACCTGTCTGTGGATTGCCAGGTAAGTTGGCTGTGGTGGTGTCAGGATGCCAATGGCTGTCACAGTGTCATTCCTCTTAGGAGGGGCCACAGCCATTTACAGACGCTTCTAACTGGTGATGTGGTTATGTCCTGACAGACCCATTGTGAACTGAAAATCTCCTAAGTCAATATGTACTCATCACACCTAAGCAACTGAACATGACAGCCTCGCCTCCCTGGAGTGTGGTCAGGACACTCACATTAGCCCATGGCTGGGCAAAATCACCTAACACAAACACCTGTTTTATAATAAAGTGTGGAATATCTATGTAATTTACTGAATAGTACATATTATGTTGAAATTACAACCATTTCTACACCATCACAAAGTTGAAAAATTCTAAGTCAAACCATGGAAAGTCAGGGACCATCTGTGTTTGTTACACCATTCAGCAGGTAGTTTGGAAGACTTAGTATATGTGTAGTATGAGGAGCTGGGAATATGGCAGCAAACCAAACACACAAAGCTTAGTCGGCATGAAGCCACGTCCAGTACAGTGGACAGAAGGTAAAGGGCAGGCACAGCCTTGGGAAGGGTCCGGTGGGGGTGGGGGGGGCTGGGTGTGCAGTTTCCTTTTGATCTTGCATAGGACTGATAATTTGTAAGAATCGTTTTCTGATACAAGAAGGTATAGCTTATATTGATTTCTAAAAATTGTCTTTAGTTAAAGAACCAAAATGATAGAAGTAAAGAAAGCAACGAAATAGGACCCAGGTGCCCTGAGTTTTCCCACGTGTTTCTTACTGACATGGTCTGACCTGGGCAGGTCCGGCCTCCTGGCATCTCTTTCCTCTGCTGTAAGGGAACAGTGGAGGCCAGGGTGCTGTTGAGAGTACCTGTTAGTTCTCACTGCATGACTAGAGATGTTAACACTGAACTAAAACGTTTCTCTCTTGTAGGTTTGTGTGGTTTACTGTCAGGAGCTGAAGTGCTGGTGCCGGGCCATTATTAAATCTATCATGTCCTCAGCAGACCAGTACCTGGCAGAATGTTTCCTGGTGGATTTTGCTAAGAATATTCCAGTAAAATCTAAGAAGTACGTGTATAATTATTTTGCCTTGCACTCTTAATGGAAACAAATGTCACTTTTAAAGGAGAACATGCATTTTTAAAGTAAGGGAATAGAGGTCATTACCCTTGAGAAATACTCCAGTAGAGTTTCTTGATGCTAAAGCTTCAAGAAGGGAAGACATGGAGGTTCAGTTCTGCGTGCACTGACCGGAGGGACAGATGGCCACAGTGAAGATGCAGAGCTGGTTCCTGTCCTTCCTTACCTTCCTGCAGGGTGGGGCAGGGGCCCTGCCTGCTCACTCTGCATCTTCTGGATGCTCTTTGCCAGCTACCTCAGTGCCCATGTGAGAGTGGCTAGGGGACAAGAAAGACACCCCAGCAGATAGAAACTCTCTTTGTCTGCACAGAAGGGGAGGCTGCTGGTTGTCCTAGCATAGTGAGGGCGTGGCCGTCATATGAAGTGGAGACACAGGCAGAATGAGCTGGTAGTTGGATGGTGACTGTGCAGCCTCAGTGATGGGGACTGCACATTTCAGTCATTAGAAAATATCACCAATAAGCCAGTCATGGTGTTTTATGATGTTTTTTTCATAATTTCCTGTCCTGGAAGTAAGAGGATGTCAGTTTAATAAATAAACATGAGGACTTTTCTTCCACTGAAGAAAGAGCACTACTCAGGAGATTTCAGTTGCAGTAGTAGGTGTCCCTTGGGGAGAGGAATTTCTTGGTGGAAGTGCTTATCAGACACTGGAAATTTGCAGATAGTTAAAATGTAGACACCTTTCTAGCCTATGATTCTGCATCTTTATGGAACCCTAGTCGCTATGAAAATAGCTATTGTGTTTATCTGAGGAACTTTCTTTTTTGTATTTGGGGTAAGAGAATCGTATGGTTAAATAGCGCTCACAGAGACCCTGATGGGCAGATAATGCAGCCACCTCCTCCTAACCTGTGTGAGCAGAGGTGACCAGGCTGCCTGTGTGGGACATGGCGGGGGTCCTGGAAGAGAAACAGTTCCTGTTGAAGTACATAGTACGTTAAAGGGATCTTTTGTCTGCCCAAAGAAGGTTGGAAAGAAACGTGTTGAACTTATTGTTAAATCTCAGTCTTTCAGCTGTTTTGTGCAAAGTTAGCAAATACTTATCGCTAAAATGTTTGTCCATTTACAGACATTTTCAGATGGTCAATATTGAAATTGTTTTGTGAGATGGAGTCTCACTCTGTGCAGTGCCATGAAATCATAGCTCATAGCAACCTCTAATTCTTGGGCTCCAGTGATCCTCCTGCCTCAGCCTCTTGAGTACGTGGGACTACAGGTGCCACCACAATGCCCGGCCAGTTTTTCTGTTTTTAGAAGAGATGGGGTTTCCCTCTTGCTCAGGCTGGTCTCTAGCTCCGAGCTCAAAGATCTCCCCACCTCTGCCTCCCAGAGTGCTGGGATTACAAGTGTGAGCCTCCGTGCCCTGCCAGTCAGTATTGAAATTGATATTTAAACATCTTAGGTAGAATTTGCTCCACAAGTCTATTCATTGTTACTTAGTGTTCCTCAACCTGTAGAGCCTTATTAGACTTCTTTCCCCTAAACTCCTATGATGTTTTAATGCCACAGATATAGTATCTGTTTTGCTGTATGTGTTCTGTATATGAAAAAATTAAGGTTTTGCTTAACCCCTAAAAAAGTTTTTGCCTCATTGGCCAAATAAAGCACCATTAGTGGGTGTATTAGAAACATAATTTGTGTTTTGCTTTATGTTAAGTATATTGATCATATAGGTGTACTTTAAAGAAATATGTACAATTTTTCTTTATAATGGAACTATTTCTGTTTCATTTGGAAGCATCCGAGTTGCAGTAGAGTCTTTTATGAAGCTTCCCTACAGAGCAAAGAAGTTCAGCCTGTACTGCACAAAACCTGTCACTCTGCACATTGACTTCTGCGAAGACAGTGCTGAGATTGTGTAAGTGCAGCTTCTTAACCAGAGTTAAGGCTGCCTTTCCTGGATGGCCTCTTAGAGGGATGCATTAGCCAGCACGTCCTGAGCCCTCTCTGTGCCAGCCTGTGCTGGACACTGCATGCTCTGGCTCTGTGTTCTGGTTTGGGAGACAGACATGTCACAGGTCACTGGGGGTGGTGGTGTTGCGACAGACAGTGCTGTGGTGGTGGGTGCGGGTCCTTCTCAGCAGGGCCTCTGTGAGGCAAGTCTGCCATGGTGTGGGTGGCAGTGTCCTCACCCCAGTGTAGAGCAGGCTGGGCTGCTACTTATCTGCCCTGGTGTGAGTGGCAGTGTTTGGGCATGTAGGACACGGTGGGGTCCTCTCCCCAGTGCAGAGCAAGCCGGGCTGCTCATTATCTGCCCTGGTATGGGTGGTGGTGTGTGTGCATGGGGGCACATGCTGTAGGGCACAGCAAGGTCCTTGCCCCAGCATAGAGTAGGCTGGGCTGCTCCTTATCTGCCCTGGTGTGGGTGGCAGTGTCTGGGTGCGTAGGACACAGCAGGGTCCTCTCCCTAGTGCAGAGCAGGCCTGGCTGCTTGTTATCTGCCCTGGTGTGGGCAGCAGTGTGTACGCGGGGGAGTTGGGGGGTATACTGTAGGGCACAGCGGGGTCCTTGCTACAGTGCAGAGGGCTGCTCTATCTGCCCTGGTATGGGCAGGGGTGTCGGGCATGCACTGTAGGGCACAGCCAGGTGCTCACCCCAGCACAGAGCCGCCCTGGAAGCTTGTTATCTGGGCAGGGTGTTGGACATGAAAGGTGAGTACAGTCCCGTGTGTGGTACTGGTCTCGGATTTTATTTAATGGAGTTGCCTGTGTTCACTGTTCCAGACCCGCCAAGAAGTGGGACAGTGCCGCCATCCAGTACTTTCAGAACATTCTAAAAGGTAAGGCCAGTGTATGTGTGATGGCGCTCTGCCTTGAACGGGCACCCACAGTGGCCTGCTGGTGGTGAGGGGCTGGGAGGTGTCTGATTATCCGCTTGACCACCCTCATCCAAGTTTCTTAAGTACCTGGAGCTTCTTCCCTTCTCAGTGTCGCAGGCGCTGCAGTGCTGGGACTGTGTGGGTGAATCGGGTGTCAGTGATTGACAGCTGAAATGGGAAGGGGTTGTCTGTAGAGGAACCCTGTGCCACCACGCCCCCCTTAGTCTGCGTGAAAGCTGCAGTGCTGCAGACTTCAGTTACGTGCCTTTTATTGGACCAGCAATTGACAAAAAGCCCGACTTTTAGTGAGCAAGGGATAGTGATTCCATCATGCAGTGCTTATCACCATGATCTAAGGTGTGCGGAATGTCCTTGCCTGTTGTGTGTGCGCTCTCTGTTTTGCATCAGTGACTGTGAACGGTCTCTCTTGTGGCATCTGTCCTAACCCCGGGGGTCAAGAGTCACACACTTGTGCCTGCCCCTCAATTGGCCGTTCTAGGGAGTTAGTAGGAGTGACATGTCTGGTGTGCTGCGTGATACCTCGCTGCTGTGTTCTGGGCCCTCTCCCGTGCTATGCCATTGTTTGGGTAAAGGAACAGCCCAAAGCTTGGACTTGGGAGGGTGGCTGGGTTATGAGTTTTGGCCATTGTGAGTGCTTGTGGGCTGTTGGGCGAGGACCCTGGGTATGGAAGAGGCAGACACCTATTTCTGTGTGGCCTCAGGCAGGTTACACAACCTTCTTTGAAACTGGTCTCTTCATCTGTGACATGACAGGGACAGGACCTGCATCAGACGGTATGGTAAAAAATTAAATGAAACAAAATGTATAAAGGACTTAGCATAGTGCTTGGTGGGTGGCAGTGAGTGGAGCTGCTGTTGGGTCATGCAGTCTCTGATGGAGGAACCTAGTCTTCTGACCTGTGGGCTTTAGAATGGTACAGTGGACTTTCAGATGAAAGATAAGGACTGGACTTATCCCCACTGGACTGTGGAGTTGGGAATTGCTGGAAGAGGAGACAGACCAGGAACTTTACTTGAGGAGGGGGTCACAGGGTGGCAGGGGCTGATGTGAATGGACCAGGACAGGTGACCACTGCACCGTCGAAACAGCCTGGTCCTCCTCGGCAGCTCACCAGGTCCTGCTGTCGCTGGGGCGCTGGGCCCCTCACTGGTTAGCAGAGCTAGTCAGTGGACGTAGTTGTAACTGCCACAGGTCTCCCGATGCCAGCTGATGGGTGTTTTCTTTCTGTCACTCAGCAACTACCCTGGTGGAAGCCAAATTGTGTGCTGTGGAAGAAGATACTTTTGAGGTTTACCTTTATGTAACTATAAAAAGTGAAAAAGTAAGTAAAAGTTATTTTGGGGTATTTTATCATGATTTTAAATTGTACTATGACAAAGAATAAATGCCAAGGAGACGGTGTAACTCATAAAACATAGAAATTGTCTTGACCGGCTTGGTGCCCGTAGCTCAGTGGTTAGGGCACTGGCCACATACACTGGGGTTGGCGGGTTTGAACCCTGGCTGGGGCCACCTAAACAACAATGACAAGTATAATCAAAATATAGCTGGGCGTTGTTGCCGGGCACCTGTAGTCCCAGCTTTTTTGGAGGCTGAGGCAAGACAATTGCTTACACCCAAACTCTTTCTCACAAAACATACATAAAGAATAAATTAAAGAATTGTTGGCAGCACTTGTGGCTCAATGGGTAGGGAGCAGGCCCCATATACCCAGGGTGGTGGGTTTGAACCTGGCCATGGCCAAACCGTAACAAAAAATAGCCGGGCCTTGTGGCAGGCGCCTGTAGTCCCAGCTACTTGGGAGGCTGAGGCAAGAGAATCACCTAAGCCCAAGAGCTGGAGGTTTCTGTGAGCTGTGATGCCATGGCACTGTACTGAGGGTGACAAAGTGAGACTCTGTCTCTAAAAAAAAAGAAAGAAATTGTTTTGACCTTTTGAGGTCTTCCTTAGCTTAGAAGCCAGCCAGCACTGTTTCCTTCTTTGATTACTTGAAAACATTACTTCAGATTTTTACTTAGTAAGGGACAAGAAATTGTTCCTATAGTGGTCAATATGGAACATTATTTTCTTTTTTATTTTTATTTTTCTTTTTTATTCTTTGAGACAGAGTCTCACTCTGTGCCCTGGGTAGAGTGCAATAGCATCATAGCTCACAGCAACCTCAAACTCTTGGGCTTAAGTGATTCTCTTGCCTCAGCCTCCCAAGTAGTTGGGACTACAGGCACCTGGCTATTTTTTGTTGCAGTTGTCATTGTTCTTTAGCTGACCCAGGCCGCATTCGAATCCGCCAACCTCGGTGTATGTGGCTGGCATCCTAACCACTGTGCTACAAGCGCCAAGCCAAGTTTTTCTTTCTTTTTTTTTTGAGACAGAGCCTCAAGCTATCCCCCTGGGTAGAGTGCCGTGGCATTACAGCTCACAACAACCTCCAACTCCTGGGCTCAAGCGAGTCTCCTGCCTCAGCCTC